GGAATCTAGAGAGGAAAACAAGGCAGGAGAGGGAGGGAAAGGCTGCTCTCTCTCAGCAATCCTTTTTCCCAGGTACCTGCTAATAAATGAAGCTATGTCTAGACTGCTGTTTTTTATCAGAAAAAGGTATGCAAATTGTGCTCCGCAATTTGCGTACCTTTCCCGATTGTTTTTTTTGGAAGAGGCTTTTCTGAAATTTGGCCCAACAACACTGAGCCAAATTTCAGAAAAAACTCCTCTTTTGGAAGAGCCCTTCCTTGTGAAACGAGGAAGACAGGGCTTCCAAAAGAACGTGTCTGCTCTTCCGCAAAAAATTTCGGAAGGTGGCGGAGTTTTTCCGGGATACTTCCAGTAGCCCAGAAAAACTCTGTAGTCTAGACCTAGCCTGAGAGTCTTATTTAGGTGCTTGTTTCTGATGTTTAGTTTTTACTAAAGGAAAATTATTTATTTATTCAGGGTCAAAATTAGTTATTAGGCATAAGCAAGCTGAAACATACTGCTGAAAGATGTTGAAACAACAAAGATGGTATAACTTCAGGTCTCTGAGGAAAGTGGGGAAATGTTCTGAGCAGTCTTGGCTGCACTATACATATGAGGATATGAAGTTTGTAGTCATGCCACTAGAGGTCATGCAGTTCCCAGTGCTAAGGATAAAAATGATGCTATAGCAACATGAAGAAGAAAAATGGAACAAAACGATATTAAATAAGTCTGTGGCTGAACTTTGGTTGCTATTTCCTTATTTGTTCTGGTTGAGTGCAGGTTTTATAGTTTTCTCTTCACATTGAGATTGTACCATAACCTCCAGTAAGGATTATAGAAACAGGAATACAATCCAAATACACCAATAAACATGATCATAAAACAAATGCTTTAAGTTCCTTGAAAGTCAGCGTTAATGCTGAGCCTTAGGAAAAAAGTAATTTCCGATTCCAACCAAGAATGACTTCACCTTGAACTAAAGGTGACCTTGAGTTAGCAGTGACTGATTAAATACGTTGTGCAGCTATTCATCAGATTTGCATAAGATTAATTTGAAACTTACATATATGTTAGAATTCTAATGTATGTGATTTTTCTAAAAGAGAAAGAAGGTTTGCATTAGTAAGCCAAGCTTTCCTTAATCTAGTAGTAAAGGTAAAGGAAATATAATATTTCCATTCATCAAGAAAGCCATGTAAAAAGAGGGGAAAATCTTCAATAACTAAACAAGAAAACCACATAAGAAGCTCTGCATAAAATGTATTAAGGAATTGCCAACAAAATTCCTTGAAGGATAGGAGAAAAATACTGAGCATTTCCTTAATAAGAAATTGTAGGTAGGAGAAAAATTGCAATGCCAAGTGATAAACAATATTTATTTTACACCTATCACTTCCTTCTTAACAATTTGCTATTAATTTCCAAACTTCTACAACAACTTCAAATAGCTTCTATGTTAATAAAAAAAACCCTCAAAACCTACCAGTAAAATGTTTTCTCTTGTTTCCCTTAATGTGGAATGTTATGCAAATTATCCTGGTTTAAGTTTTAGGTGTAGAGATGTTAGCTAGCATGTAATTACATAGTCATGCAATCAGAAAATTGTAGTGGTTACACAACTGTTTGGGTACGTCTACACTACAGAGTTAGTTCGAACTAACTTTCATAGGTGCTACACTAGTGCTCCGCTAGTTCGAATTAAGGGGCTACACATCCCCTAATTCGAACTAGCTAGTTCGAATTAGGGGATGTGTAGCCCCTTAATTCGAACTAGCGGAGCGCTTAGTTCGAACTAGGAAAACCTCATTTTACAAGGATTAAGCCTAGTTCGAACTAGCTAGTTCGAATTAGGGGATGTGTAGCCCCTTAATTCGAACTAGCGGAGCGCTTAGTTCGAACTAGGAAAACCTCATTTTACAAGGATTAAGCCTAGTTCGAACTAGCTAGTTCGAATTAGGGGATGTGTAGCCCCTTAATTCGAACTAGCGGAGCGCTTAGTTCGAACTAGGAAAACCTCATTTTACAAGGATTAAGCCTAGTTCGAACTAGCTAGTTCGAATTAGGGGATGTGTAGCCCCTTAATTCGAACTAGCGGAGCGCTTAGTTCGAACTAGGAAAACCTCATTTTACAAGGATTAAGCCTAGTTCGAACTAGCTAGTTCGAATTAGGGGATGTGTAGCCCCTTAATTCGAACTAGCGGAGCGCTTAGTTCGAACTAGGAAAACCTCATTTTACAAGGATTAAGCCTAGTTCGAACTAGCTAGTTCGAATTAGGGGATGTGTAGCCCCTTAATTCGAACTAGCGGAGCGCTTAGTTCGAACTAGGAAAACCTCATTTTACAAGGATTAAGCCTAGTTCGAACTAGCTAGTTCGAATTAGGGGATGTGTAGCCCCTTAATTCGAACTAGCGGAGCGCTTAGTTCGAACTAGGAAAACCTCATTTTACAAGGATTAAGCCTAGTTCGAACTAGCTAGTTCGAATTAGGGGATGTGTAGCCCCTTAATTCGAACTAGCGGAGCGCTTAGTTCGAACTAGGAAAACCTCATTTTACAAGGATTAAGCCTAGTTCGAACTAGCTAGTTCGAATTAGGGGATGTGTAGCCCCTTAATTCGAACTAGCGGAGCGCTTAGTTCGAACTAGGAAAACCTCATTTTACAAGGATTAAGCCTAGTTCGAACTAGCTAGTTCGAATTAGGGGATGTGTAGCCCCTTAATTCGAACTAGCGGAGCGCTTAGTTCGAACTAGGAAAACCTCATTTTACAAGGATTAAGCCTAGTTCGAACTAGCTAGTTCGAATTAGGGGATGTGTAGCCCCTTAATTCGAACTAGCGGAGCGCTTAGTTCGAACTAGGAAAACCTCATTTTACAAGGATTAAGCCTAGTTCGAACTAGCTAGTTCGAATTAGGGGATGTGTAGCCCCTTAATTCGAACTAGCGGAGCGCTTAGTTCGAACTAGGAAAACCTCATTTTACAAGGATTAAGCCTAGTTCGAACTAGCTAGTTCGAATTAGGGGATGTGTAGCCCCTTAATTCGAACTAGCGGAGCGCTTAGTTCGAACTAGGAAAACCTCATTTTACAAGGATTAAGCCTAGTTCGAACTAGCTAGTTCGAATTAGGGGATGTGTAGCCCCTTAATTCGAACTAGCGGAGCGCTTAGTTCGAACTAGGAAAACCTCATTTTACAAGGATTAAGCCTAGTTCGAACTAGCTAGTTCGAATTAGGGGATGTGTAGCCCCTTAATTCGAACTAGCGGAGCGCTTAGTTCGAACTAGGAAAACCTCATTTTACAAGGATTAAGCCTAGTTCGAACTAGCTAGTTCGAATTAGGGGATGTGTAGCCCCTTAATTCGAACTAGTTTTTAGTTCTAGACACGTTAGTTCGAATTAGCGCTGTAGTGTAGACATACTCTGTGATTGTCCCCAGGGAGTGCAGATCCCCCTGCAGACGGGGACTCTGTTGCAGAGCTGTCTCTGTCTGTGGCAAGCCTGGGCACACCGTGGACAGAGGCTGCTCCACAGCAGCTTCCCCTGTCCCCCCTCTATCTGCTACCTCTGACAGAGAGGCAGCAGTGCAGGGGGGAAGGAGGAGAGAGGAAGGTTTGGGGAGCTGGCATGCAGAGAGCTGGCTTGAAAGCCAGCTCCTCATGCATATCGACTCCTGCTTGTTTACCACCCACTTTGTGCTGCTGCCTCCCTATCAGATCCAGTGCTCATGGAGAGCTGGCTTAAAAGCTGTCTCCCCGTGGACACCAGCTCCCACCTCCCCTCTTGCTGCTTCTCATACAGAGGCAGCAAGGGGAGGGGTGGAATTCATGTAGTTGACAGGATTAACCGATAAAACAAGGCTTATTGGTTAATCGTGTAGTCATCTTCATGTTGACATCCCTATTTAGGACTAAAATATTTAGTTCTGTTTCAGTAACATTGTTATCTCATGATTCACCAATTCACCTCCTTCTTCTTTCCCTTGTTTCCCCCTTCCAGCTCCCTCCTCCCAGGTTTCCCCCACCCCTCTCCCAATCTCTCTTCTCCCCTCTCCTGCCTCCTTTCCCCAGTCTCACCAGAGTTTCATTCCCTCTCTCCCCAGTTTTGTTAAATAAAGAGAGTTTGTGTTCATGAAAATATGTGTATTTTATTTGACATCAGGAAGGGGGGTTAGGGAGGGGTAAGTGGAAAGATGTGAGGGAGGAATGAGGCACAAGCCCCCAGTGGGGCAGACCAGGGAGGCTCTTAGTGCTCCTCAGGGTGGAAGCTCTCCCGCAGGGCTTCCTGGACACTGACAGCCCCCCGATGGACTTCCCGGATGGCAGCCTGCAGAAAGTGCAGCCAGGCTCACAGCAACACGTCCAAGAGAAGCACCAGAGTGCCTAGGGGCAGCTCTGGCTCCATGTTGCAGAGTGCTGTGATGTCCAGAGTGAGGGCAACCAGAGCACGCAGAAACAAAATGCTTTGCTGTCCCTCATCGAGGTAGGCAAGCAAGCAGGGAACGGGCTGTCCAGGGGGGGGGGGGGGTCCCTTTAAGCACAGGCCTCAGATAGCCACAGGCAGCAGCCACACAAAGTTACTCCTGACCAGATGCCCTGCCGGACGTGGTTCCGGCCGACCTTAAATGAGATTCAGCTTCCACTCAGAGTGGACGCACTATTTCGAAATAGCAAATGCTATTTCGAAATGCATTTTGTGTGTAGACGCATTATTTCGAAATAACACTGTAGTGTAGAGATACCCTTAGCGAACAATGGTCTGAGAATTTTTCTTGTCATTTGTGTATGCTCCATTTTAAAGTAATAATGTGACAGAGTCTAAAGATACACCCTAATCTTGTAACCACTTACACAAATGAATAACTCTGTCCATGAGTGGAGTCCTGCTGGGTTCAAACAGTTGTTATATATACTGTATGGAGCAAATAAAATGGACTCAGAATTGGAACTCATAAACTCTGAGTTCAGAAAAACTCCCAAGTAGGCATTTTCTACACAAAGTACCCAGAAAAATATGTTTATTCATAACAATGTAACAGAACGTTCAATTAAGTACAAATTATACAGGGCTATGATACCCAACTGTTTTCCATGTAATTTCCTTATTTAGTTTTATTCTTCTTTACTTGTATCTGCCTCCTCTGACTCCTTTGATTCTTCTTCCTTCTCTTCCAAACTAGTATTTACTATTGAAGGAAAATATGAAATTAGTGGTACACTTAGTAAAATAATAGAGTTGAAATCTTCTATAATTCATTCATTCATTGTAGTAATACCTTAATCCTGGAAAACATAATGCAGATTTCTTACATATATGGTCCACTCATTGGGTGCGTCTAGACTGGCAAAAACTTGCCAGATGTCTAAACTGGCCGCTTGAATTTGCGCAAGAACACTGACGATCTAATGTAAGATTGTCAGTGTTCTTCCGCAAATACTATAATGCTCCCTCTTAGGGATAAGCCCTCTCACTCAAATGTTTTTGTGTAAGAGGGCCAGTGTATACAGGGAAGAACTGTTTCGCGCAAAAAAGCCCTGATGGCGAAAATGGCGATTGGGGCTTTCTTGCACAAAATCGCGTCTAGACTGGCCACAGATGCTTTTGCGCAAAAGCACTTTTTGCGCAAAAGCATCTGTGCCAATATAGACGCTCTTTTGCGCAAATGCTTTTAACGGAAAAACTTTTCTGTTAAAAGCATTTGCGCAAAATCATGCCAGTCTAGACGTAGCCATTAGTTATTAGAAGTGAGCCTAAGTGGAGTGCTTTAGAAAATCCTACTCTAGTTAGAAGAGAAGCATATATGGAATATAACAAAATCCCTATTACAATTAAATTGTTTTGAATCCACTTGCTGTCTTTGCATTACCAAAGTAAAGACCCTATGGTAAACAAATAAGGACATAAATATGGAATTTATATTCTTAGTCCTGGGCTCATCAACAGACTGCTGTAGGACTTAAATGAACTGATTCTGAAGTGTAGGCTGTTCAATCAATATTTCATTAGTAGAAAACGTCCACCAATAAAATAATAATGAGGCCTGAAAAGTATGTTTATAGTCAGTATCTTCACTTTCGGTATATTAGGAGCCAAATTCTTTGTGAACATAACTCTACTGAAATAAAAAACATAGCTCTATGTCTGCGTCTAGATTGGCATGATTTTGCGGAAATACTTTTAACAGAAAGGTATTTCTGCAAAAGAGTGTCTAGATTGGCACGGATGCTTTTGCGCAAAAAGGATTTTAGCCATCGTGCTTTCTTGCGCAAAAAATTAAGGTGCCTGTCTACACTGGCCCTCTTGCGCAAGAGGGCTTATCCCTGAGCGGGAGCGTCAAAGTATTTGCGCAAGAAGCACTGAATTCTTACATTAGAACATCAGTGCTCTTGCGCAAAGTCAAGCTGCCAGTGTAGGTAACTGGCAAGTTAAAATCTTGCCAGTCTAGACGCACCCTACATGTTTATGGTATGTTGCAGCATATTTTCAAGTTATCTAATTGTCTCTCTAACTCTTGTTGTTGGTTTTGCAACTCACCTTATTATGAAATGGGTTGATGGAAAACTGAGAATCAAATATTTAATGGATGAAAACATCCAAATTTGTAAGGTTTTATTCTGACATGTTTTAATATATTCAGACCATATTTTAATTAGGCAGAGATTTACTCATAAAATATATCTTAACACCAGCCTCACTTTACAATACTTTCTAATAATTTTGATAAATAATTTGAAATATTTTGAAAAGCAATGAAAATTCAGAAACTATACTTAAAACATCCAAACATTAAAAAGCAATAACTTCATTTTCAAAACTAGCTTTTCTTTAATAATTCATTCAACTTTCTGTTGAGAGTATACAAGTGTCACCAATGAGATCAAGTCTCAAAATACACATGGGCTGTGTCTACACTGGACCACTTATTCCGGAAAATCAGCCGCTTTTCCGGAATAAGCTGCGAGCTGTCTACACTGGCCCTTGAATTTCTGGAAAAGCAACAACGCTCTACTGTACAAAATCAGCCGCTATTCCGGAAAAACTATTCTGCTCTCGCTCGGGCATAAGTCCTTATTCCGGAACACTGTTCTGGAAAAGGGCCAGTGTAGACAGCCCAGTAGTCTTTTCCGGAAAAGCGCGTCTACATTGGCCACAGACGCTTTTCCGGAAAAAGGGCTTTTCCGGAAAAGCAGCCTGCCAATGTAGACACTCCTTTTCCGGAAAAACTGAAAACGGAATAGTATTCCGTTTTAAGCATTTCCGGAAATTCATGTCAGTGTAGACACAGCCATGTAGATTTCAAATGTCCAAATTTCTGGTGCTGGTTAGGTCTGGCTCTGGCTATTAATCCATTTAGTGTATTACAAAGATCAGATCCATGAATGGTAATAATATTTATTTTATTCAGAAATAAGCTCTGTATGATAAGTAATGTTGTTTGAAGTCCTGTATGTCAGTTTCACTTTTTAACCAAACAATTATTTTTTCTGTTTCATTATTTCTTAGGGAATTTTAATTCTATTTTGTTTATTCACCCTACTGAGGAGAAAATTCATCTCATGTAGGAAAAAAGCTTCACAGTGATGGATTACATTTTGTGAGGCATGTCAGTCCAGTCTCTAATTCTGGTATAAAGAATTTTCAAATATCCATTATGTTCAAACAATAATGCATATAAACTTGAGTATACATAATTAGAAGCCAGCTTGTAGAGATTTGGCTCTTTATGAAAAACAGAGTTTATTATCCTTTCAAAATGATGTGTCCCCACACCATTGTTCCCACTAAGGTGCACACCTGTGCAGCCATGCACAAAAAATTCTTTCTCCGTCCACCATCTCTGAGAGCTGCACTGTAGCACTTGTGTGGCAAGTGGCTGCTCCGGTGGGTGAAGCCAGCTGAGACAGCACGGTGAGGGAGTGGTTGGGGGAGGTGTCTGGGACCTGTAGTGGCCCAGTGGTGGTGGGGGAGAGGCCTTCTCCGGTGGCTGGAGCTGCCACCTGGCGTGGAGGCCAGGGCCTGCTCTGGCAGCTGGGGCTGGGAACAGGACCTGCTGCATGGCGGAGAAGAGGGGTGTCTGCTTTGGAGGCTGGGAACGGGACATGCTGCATGGTGTGTGTGGGGGGGGGGAGTTCTGCTCCAGTGGCTGGGAACATGTGTGTGTTAATAAATTGGGTACCACGGGGCACACATCCAAACCAGCGCACAAGCCAAAAATTACTCCACTCCTGGTTGGAAAATCTTAGAGGAAACACTGCCCCACACTGTGACACATTTTCAGCTAGTTGACATGTACAATGACAATCTATAATCATTTATTCTTCTCTTTCTTTCTCACCCTGATCCACCTGATCTTCTTTGCTCCCTTCCTCCTCCTCTTCTCCCTCCTTTGATGGGGACAAATCTTCAGTGGGCTCTGCAGCTTCAGGTTCCCCAACCTCAGTAGGTTCCTCAGCAACTGAATTGGGAGAAAAGCAGATATATGTCAAACTATGAGGAGGAAAGAACCTTCTAGATCTGCTCTTTGGCATTATTTTTATTCTTAAGTAACAGCTAACATCTTACACCCAATTCTGTAGCCTCTGTTCATGTGAGTAGTCCCACTAACTTCACTGGAAGTGCTTAATAGAAGAGTTGCAATATTGGGCCCTGGGTCAGATTATGATAATTTCTCTACTGTTACAGGCTTTCCAGGACAGTTGCCTCTGTTACTAATAACACATTATAGCAAATGGAAGAATACTCAGTATGCATTATAAAGCATATGAATGTGATGCAGTAATATGAATCTTCAAACTTTCAGCTGTCGCTGATTTCTAGCACCTTGTAAATGGACAAAAAGTACAACTCTCTTATCATAACTTATCATCGTAAATTAATCAAGCAGAAACAGTTTGGGGAATTTTGGGGGAACTGGGTTTTCCAGCAGTTCCTCAGGACAAACCTGAAGGTGCTGGCACCTCTTCTTCTGCTGCTGCTGGAGGCTCTTCAGGAGGTGGTGGCGGGGGTGGTTCTTCAACTGCTGGTGTCCATAAGGTTAAAGTTGTAATATTTTTTGCTTTCCATTTTGGAGTAATTGCTACAGCTTCCTCCTCTTCCTCTTCCTCCCCTTTTTCCTAACAAATATAAAAAAAATCCAGAATTACAACTGGGAATCTGGAAGTAATGATTACAAACCTGTTTGAATGCACTTAAATCTGAGTTTGAAATGGGAACAATACAGTCCTTTACAGTAAGCTGCCAATAGTTAACAACTGAACAACATTATTGGTCACAAACTTTGGAAAAGAGAGAAAACCATTCCAAGCTAGAAAACTTGAGGCAGTCACTCACTTGTTGATCTCAAAATTAATGCTCACCAGTTTCCTTTCTTTTTCATGAGTAGATTCTATCTGGAGCAACAGAGGCAGTGCCATGAGGGCAAAAGAGCCTTCTTTAATCGTTTTGCAGCTCACAGAAGGGCTGAGCCTAATGCAGTACTTATAGGCACTGGGTTGTTCCATTTTCCCAGTGCCACAAAAGGAAAGGAGAGAAGGCAGGATCATTACCTGTCTCCTTTCCACATCAGACTATACCATAGGTCTGGTACTTAGGGAGCTCAGAGTGGCATTGTACACTTTGGAAGGAGAATACATCCTGGTTTTTCCAGTGGGGTGATACAGCTCTCTGCCCCAAACCCATACAGAAATGGACAAGCAACAGTGTGGATGCAATAAAAAACTGTTCTCTGCTTCCCAAGGTGCTCATTTTACAAAGGTATATTGTCCCTAGGCAACACCCCAATGGTGCAGCTCTTTACTTTCCAAATATGGTTCAGGCTCTTACAGGCCATAACCGAGCCCTAATTTTCAATGTGTCTCAATTAGCATCCATTAGATTTAAGAACTGTGGGTATGTCTACATTGGAGGTATATTTCTTAGCTCAGATAGACATATCTGTGCTACTGCTGATCAAGATAGCACACCAAAAATAGTGTAGCCACAGAAGCACAAATGGAAGTAGGGAAGCCCACAAAATACAATCAGATCTGATATAGTAGGTATGTAGCTAGCCCTTCCCACTGCTTGAACCACTGTGACTATACTGCTTGACCAGAGTTACAATGGGAACGTTTACCTCAGACAAGAATTACAGTTCCAGCTCCAGTATAGACACATCCTAAAGGGCAAATCTTAACACACACAAAGTAGCCAGGCTAGGTACTGGGAAGATGCAGGCAAAATGAGGAGATGTAAAGCCACTGGGTGCCAGAGTCCCGAATTCTCCCAACATGGACCTCTAGCATCAGAGACTGGCTCTAGCACACACAACAACACACACTAGTATTACACATCAACACACACTAGTATTTAGGGATCTGATGTGGAGCTGCAAGTTGTTCCTTGTTTACAGATATCTGAGAGCTCTGTCCTAAAGAAATAGATATTGCTCATACTTCTTGGGTGGCTGAAGGTTTCATCATGTCATACCACACATAAAAGTTCCATTATTAAAACCATATACATTCCCTCATATCTTATTGCTTACAAATACACTTGAGATGAGTGTTATCTTTCCCAGTGATTTGTCTAAAAATATCTAAATACTTCAAAATGTAATTGCAGTATTTTTACAGAAATAGAGGAAGGGCTCTTTGGAAATAAAAACTAACACTTAGGAAACATGCAGGATTATTTGTCATATAAGAAGACAGATACAATGTGATTAATAAATAAATGTAAAGCAAAGCCAAAGCATATGTTTTACATCGTAGTAGCTGCTTACCAAAACATGCAATACAAGAGAAATAATAATCATTTCAGTTATAAATGGTTCACATGTTCAAGGTGTTATATAAATATTAATTAATTCTCATAACAATCCTCTAGTGTAGGTAGTGGTATCACCATTTTACAGATAAGAACACAGCTGTGACTTGCCCAAGGCTTCACAGATAATTGTGGCAGAATTATAATTTGAATATGGGCATTCTTGGCTTGTGGTCCAGTTGAAAGTGGGAATAAGAGATCCTCCGGAAAAGAGCTTATTTTCCGGAGAATCACGTCCAGACTGGCGCTTTTCTCCGGCTTATCTACAAGCCGGAAAAAAGCGGCAGCCATGTAAAAGAGCCTAAGGCTGTGTCTACATTGGTGTGATCTTGCGCCAAAGTGGCCGCTTTTGTGCAAAAACATGCTGCCTGTCTACACTGGCGAGGAGTTCTTGTGAAAGAACACTGACGTTCTAATGTGTGAAATTAGTGCTTCTTGCGCAAGAACTATGATGCTCCCGCTCAGGAATAAGCCCTCTTGTGCAACTGTTCTTGCGCAAGAAGCCAGTGTAGACAGGCAACATGAATTTCTTGTGCAAGAAAGCCCGATAGCTAAAATGTCCATCGGAGCTTTCTTGCGCAAGAGAGTGTCTACACTGGCACGGATGCTCTTGTTCAAAAGCACATCTCTTGCGCAAAGGCACATGCCAGCGTAGACACTCTCTTGCACAAATACTTTAACGCAAGAACTCTTGTGTTAAAGAGTATTTGAGCAAGATCACGCCAATGTAGACGTAGCTTAAAAGTCCTGCAGGGCTAATGCAGGCTCCCCTGGTTCTCTGCCATTCTCAGAAATGCATGCATGTCTCTGTGTCAGAGGTTCACTACACGCTGTCCCTGTCCCAAGTACAACCTCCACAGCTTCATTGGCCAAGAACTGTGGCAAATGGAAGCATGCCCAGAACCCCCCTGCCCGCACTCCACCACATAGGAGCCTGTGCCAGAGGAATGTGCCAGCTGTTTTCGGGAGCCACACAAGTTAAGCATTGCTCTGACACACTCTTGCCCCCTTGCATCCCAATCACTTGCCCCAGCATACAGCCTGCATCCCAACTGCCTCCCAGAGTTCCCACCTACAGCTGCATGCCCTCCCACACTCAAACTCCATCCCAGAGCCTGAACCCCCACCCAACTTTCTCCAAGAGCCTGCACACCACACCCTCTCCCACACCTCAACCTCCTGTACCAGCCTGGTGAACGTGAGTGAGGGTAGGGGAGAGCAACCAATGGAGAGAGGGGAAATGAAATGAGCAGGAAGCAGGGCCTCTGAGAAGGAGAGGAATAGGGGTGTGGCCTCAAGGAAGGGGGCAGGGAATGGCTGAGCATAGTGGAGTGCACATTGGGAGTCCCCAAAAATTTTTAAATCAAAATTGGAGTTGCCTGGTTGCTAAAGTTTGACAACTGCTGCCTTATTTAAATGAGTCTCAATTAGAGAAGTTGATTAATTGCAATTAACTCATGCAAATAACTAAAAAAAAGTAACTATGATTTAAAAAATTAATCGTGATTAATCACAGTTTCAAATTGCACTGTTAAACAACAGGATCCTAACTGAAATGTATTAAATATTTCTAGATGTTTTTCTACATTTTCAAATATATGGATTTCAATTGCAACTCAGAATACAAAATGTGTAGTGTACACTTTATTTTTTATTACAAATAGTTGTATTGTAAAAATGATAAACAAAAGAAATTGTATTTTTCAGTTCAGCGTATACAAGTGCTGTATTGCAATCTCTTTATTGTGAAAGTGTAACTTAAAAGGTAGATTTTTTTCCTATGTAACTGCTCTCAAAAACAAAACAATGTTAAAGGCTGGAGCTTACAAATGCACTCAGTCCTTCTTGTTCAGCCAATCACTAAGGGGATAGGCATTTGCATGAACACGGCTACCGCTTTTTTCCTGATTTTAAGAGGAATAAGGGATCTTCTGGAAAAGGCTTTATTTTCCGAAAGATCCTGTCTAGACTGGTGCTTTTCTCCGGCAAAGCCCCGAGCCGGAAAAAAGCGGCAGCCATGTTCATGCAAATGCCGCGGGGGATATTTAAATCCCCCGCAGCATTTGCAATTCCGACTTGTCTCATTAGCATCCATTTTCCGGAAAAGGGCGCCAATGTAGACACAGCCTCTGGGTATGTCTACACTTGCTCCCTAGTTGGAACTAGGGATGCAAATGTAGCCAACCGAAATTGCTAATGAAGTGGGGATTTAAATATTACACGCTTCATTTGCATACTCTCGCCCACATGCTATTCCGCTCGCCAGCTGATTCAAACCTGGAAGTGCGCTCCAGGACGCAGAGTAACATTAGTTCAAACCAAGGGGTTTGATTCGAACTAACGTGCCCCGGAGTGCATTTCCGGGTTCGAATCAGCTGGTGAGTGGAATAGTGCGCAGGCGAGATTATGCTAATTAAGTGCGGGATGTTAAATTCCCGCTTCATTAGCAATTTTGGTCAGCTACATTTGCATCCATAGTTCGATCTAGGGAGCAAGTGTAGATGTACCCTAAGAGAAATAAGTCTGTTTACATTTACACAAGATAATGCTGTCCACTTCTAATGGACTATGTCATCTGAAAGTGAGAACAGGATGTCACATGGCAGATTTGTAGTTGTGCTAAACATCTGTACGCCCCTTCATACTCAGCCACCAGCCCAGAGGACATGCTTTCATGCTGAAAACACTTGTTAAAAAATTAATTCATTAATTGAATATATGACTGAACTCTTTGGGGAGAATTGTGTGTTTCCTGCTGTTTTACCTGCAGTCTGACATATATTTCATATTCTAGAAGTCTCAGATGACTCAGCATATGCTGTTCATTTTAGGAATACTTTCACTGCAGATTTGACAAAATGCGAAGAAGGTACCAATTTTAAATTTCTGAATATAATGACAGCACTCATCCAAAATTTGAGGGTGCATCTGCACAGCAGGGCTTAACTCAAAATAAGCTACGCAAATTGAGCTATGTCAATAACGCTGCTTATTTCAGAGAAGCTTATTTCAAAATTGAGAACATCTACAAAGCACTTATTTTGAAATAGATCACTCTTCCTCCAACTTCTCTTAGTCCTTGTACTATGAGGCTACGTCTACACTGGCATGATTTTCCGAAAATACTTTTAACAGAAAAGTTTTCTGTTAAAAGCATTTTCGGAAAGCATGTCTAGATTGGCAGGATGCTTTTCTGCAAAAGCACTTATTGCGGAAAAGCGTCCGTGGCCATTTTCGCGATCGGGGCTTTTTTGCGGAAAACAGTACTGTGCTGTTTGTGATTTGCGCAAGAGGGCTTTTGCCCAAATGGGAGCAGCACAGTATTTCCGCAAGAACACTGACGATCTTACATGAGATCATCAGTGTTCTTGCGGAAATTCAAATGGCCAGTATAGACAGCTGGCAAGTTTTTCCGCAAAATCATATGATTTTGTGGAAAAACTTGCCAGTATAGACACAGCCTGAGGGTTATAGGAGTCAGATTAAGAAGTCCTCCAGCTTGACAGTATTTTGACACTATTTTGAAATAACTGCCTGCTGTGTAGACACAGACTAAGTTATTCTGGAATAGCACTAATTATTTCAAAATAGTGCTGCAGCGTAGATGTACCCTGAAGTGCTTCCAAAATCTGAGCCAGATATAGTGTTTTTCAGCAGCTGTAAAAGAGAAACACTCCAATGCAGAAACTACAGAACCCAAACCACCAAAATGGAAAACCATCCTTCTACTGATGGCATCTGGCTCAGAGGATGAAAATGAGCATGCATCAATCCATTCTGCTTTCTAACAGCAACCACCATCAATATGGATTGGTGCATGTCCTTTGGAATGGTGATGGAAGCATGAAGGGAAGCATTAATCTTTAGTATATCTGGTACATAAATATTGGAGTGAAAGTAACTTAAGTTTCTTATAGATACTGTCATGTTGCACCCTCGCTGGGAACTCAAGAAAGGAGGATGGGGAGGGGGTGCAATACAATAATACCTATAAGAAATGTAGGTGCGGGGTGGAGTGTGGAGGGCTCAGGACAGGGAGAGTTGAGAGGGGAGCAAGAGTCAGGGCAGGAACTTGGAGATGAGGAGGAGCTGAGAGTGTGGGGGGGTGCAGGAGTCAGGGTTAGGAATGTGGGGGTGCAAGAGACAGGGTTTGGGGTATGAGGAAGGGCTCAGGGCAGAGGCTGGGGCATACGGGGTGCAGGAGTCAGGATTCGGAGATGTGGGGGTTCAGAAGTCAGGGCAGGAGGCTCAGGGCAGGGGACTGAGTGTGTAGGGATGAATGCAGGGGAGGCAAGGGTGCCATTTTGGGAGGAGGGGGCTGCAGTTGCACATACTGGGCCCCTGTTGCTTTTTTTCTCCTTCCTCTGACTAAGGAGTGAGGGGAAAATGCAGAGCCTGCTGCATTCCTCTGCCCCCTCCTCTAGGCAGGCAGGAGTGAGAGGAATGCAGCAGGCTCTGAACTCTCCCCTCAATCTCCAGTCAGGGGAAGGAGAAAAAAGGCAATAAGGGCCTAGTACATGTGACTGCAGCCTCACACCTCCTGGAATGACACCTGGGAAAGGGGGCTCAAGGCTGGGGCAGTCCTGGATGGCAAGTCGCACCCTTGGCCAGCCCTCTAACCTGTCTGACTGCTTGCTGCTGAGCACGGCAGCCTGCAGAAGGCCTCAGGAGCCCAGCTGAGCAAATGCTACCCCTCCCATTGCAGCTGAGTACCCCAGCTGGCCAGCTTCTTGCTGGAGTGCTACAATGGGGCATACCAGCATTCACTTCTGCATAAATATTTTGCAATGCCTGTTCTAAGAGAATCATACGAATGTCTGTTATCGCTTTCAGGTCAGATTGTAAACAAGAAGAAGGAAGCATTATCTCTTGCAACTGTAACCAAACTTGTTTGTTCGAGATATTGGCTTCACAAGAACTGAGAGCACTTTCTAGGCTCTAAAGGTTTACCTAACTTTATATTTGAATGTTTTTATTTTTGTATATTATTCTACATTTGTAAGTTTAACTTTCATGAGAAAGAGATTGCACTACAGTATTTGTATTAGGTGAATTGAAAAATACTGAAAAATACTATATCTTTTGGTTTTTAGAATGTAAATATTTGCAATAAAAATTAATACAAAGTGAGCACGGTACACTACACTGTGTGGTAACTGAAATAAAATATTTGAAAATATGCAAAAGACCCCAAATATTTAAATAGATGGTTTTCCATTACTGTTTAACAGCACATTTAATCATGATTTTTTTTAAATCACTTGACAGCCCTAACCTCATCTATACTGAGAACAGTGTTAAATAGGGTTGCCAAGTGTCTGGTTTTCTACTGGACAGTCCAGTATTTGCACCGTCTGTCTGGTAGAAAAAATCAGAAAATACCGGACATGTGCAATGTCCGGTATTTTCTGAATTCCCAGCTGGGCGCTGGACGGAAGCCTGGTGGGGGCGGGGGAGTGACTGGGAGGTGAGGCCACGATTGGCTCTGGTTGCGAGCAAAAGCCAGGAGGGGCAGGGTGGGGGCTGGGACTCCCAGACACTCCCCCTGACCAGCTTTTGCACACAACCAGAGGCCCCCAGCACCAATCTCGGTCCCGCCTCCCAGCTGGGAGCCTCTGGTTGCATGCAGAAGCCGGGCAGGGAGAGTGACTCCCAGCCCCTCCCCTGCCCAGCTTCTGCTCACAACTAAAGGGAGTGCCTGCCGGAGGCGCAGCCCAAAGAACTCCAGCTGAGCCCAGTGGCTGCACCTCCCTCCCCAACCAGCTCTGCTTCCCGCCCCCCTTCCTCCAGGTCCTCCTCTCCTCCCGTCCAATCAAGTGTGTTCAGTTTTTTGGCGGGATCTACCTGGCAACCCTAGTGTTAAAGTGTCTCATGATAACCATATGAATGTATATAAACAAGCTCTGTGGCCAGGTAATTTCTGGTACAGGGACATAGGGTCTTCAAAATAAAAGCCAAAGTCAAATCAAAACTCTGTCTGACTTGATATATTGCTAGCACCTTTGGGGAATGATCCTGCTTTCACTGAACTCAACGGCAAAACTTTTAGTGTCTGCAATGGGAGCAGTAATGGGGCCTTCATCTGTTAGGGCGCACACAGCACATTAGCCAGACAAGTTTTTTTTATTTACTTTGTTGCTTAGAAAGGCACATATTTCTAAAGCTGTTAGACTTTTTAAATGCACAGTACCTGTCGTGATCTAGATAGACTATATCTGAATAGGCTGACATGACTTGCTGAGTTTTCTAACATATAGTATAGTCTGTATTATATTATTTACCTGGTCTACATGTGTGTATTCACCATGCTGTTCACACCCAATATCAAAAACATACTTCCCACTACCTATTGGCTGTGCAAAGAGAAACATAAAGTTAGCAAGTCTTTAAAGTTAGCAAACTCTAAAGAAGTAACAAAAAATACAGAAGATGACAACACAATATCATGCATTTTTCAGAATTTTAAAAATAAAATGTGAAAAAAACTTTGGAGAAATTTTGCATACGCCTTGTTCATTTATATCTATTACATTATGGTTCAAAGAATACTGGGAAAAACAAGGATCTTTGTTTATATTTTTAATATAAACAGTCCACACCAGAACAACATGTTCTAATTTTCAAATTCAAATAGCATTTTCCAGCATACTTACATTTCCATTCACAAACTTGCCCTGGTATCTGTGGTTTAGATGAATAAGTTCAGCTGCTCCTTCCTGTTGCCCATTTACCCAGCCACCAACATATTTAGAGCCAGTTTCTGCATAGAGATACGTACCTTGTCCATGCCTAAATGGCAAATAATAATTTTGCATTATATAGATTGCAGTTCTATAAACTGGAACTCTCTGGTCTGGCAACATCCGTGGTCCTGAAGGATAATGGATGTTCCAGGATCAGGGAATCCTGGAATGCTGGATGGGTAGAGTGGGGTGGGAACTCAGTGATATGCGGGGGAGGGCAATGCATGGCCTTGCTGGGGGCAGAGCAAGAAGCCCAGCATGTGGCTCAACTAGGCTGTGGGGAAGGAAGGCCTTGAGCTAACACATGGATCAGCTGAGCTGTGGGGTCTGGGAGCTGGTGCATGGCTCAGCTGGGTTCCAGCAGGAGGGTGGTGGCTCAGGTGGGCTGCAGGAAGAGCCAGGAAACCTGGTGGCAGGGTGAGGGAAGGGAGCTGGCAGCAGGAGGACCAGAAATGACCTCCCCTGGTCTAGAAAAAATCCCTCATCTGGTATCAGTCAGGTCCTGAGGGTGCCAGACCAGGGAAGTCCAACCCGTATTACTATACTTTAAAGAGCAGGATTTTTTTTGCAATATTAATGTATTAAACATATGACTAAAACAAGTGCCTCATTAGTCCATATTTCCAGCCCCAACAACATCTTCATTCATTCATATTTGTCTAGCTCTATTTACATGAGATATGTTATTGCAGGCTTTCCATACATTGTAAACTAGATTTGGTTGCCTATCACACACACTTTCCCTTCTCAATCCAAAATGGAACACCTGGCTCTCTTTACACATGGACACAATCAGGCTGAGCCACAAGACACCAGTGAGGTGATCCCCCATTTTTCCATTCAAGCCAAGGCTGCTTTGGCCCCAGCTCAGAGAGCTAGCCACTATACGATCACAGATAACTCATTTGTGCTGCGTTAGATAAGTGAAAAATGCTTAGCTCAGTGCTCTTGAGGTGGCCACCTACCTGGCATAGAGCCACAGAGATTTCTCAAGTCTTCCTGTGACTGTCACACATACCATCATAACGAAAAGACCTACTGCTGGTCCACTTCTCTCTGTCCCTTACTATCCTATTTGACTCAGCCATTGTCCTCGTGCACTTGGCCAGAGAATTTCTCTTTGCCACTCCACAGCTTGCCCCAACAGGCAAAGTCTTGAAGCTGGCCCCAATGGTGGAAGGTGCAGTAGAGGCTTTTGCTAGGGAAAGCCCGTGGGGAGTGGCCTTGCAGGTCATTGTCTGTTTGGAGATGAAAATTAGCACAATGCAAGTCCCCATAACGGGGAAGATGAAGAACCTGCTGGCCAGGCAACATAGTATCTCTTTCCATGCAAAAGGGCATCAACCTCCAAAATCCTGGTCACTCACATGACAGGCAGGGATACTCACTTTTATACTAACAAGGAAAGGGGCAGGCCCACCCTGTATATCCTGCTCAAAGAGACCACCTATGGCCAGTCTACCCCACACCACCAGCAACAGCACTGCTTTTTTGCCTGTCTTTCCAAAAGTCTTTGGCTGCATGCACCAACAGCCCTTTCCTTCCTCCCAGGCACTTCCTCAGCAAGACACCTTTGGAGACTATACACCTTCTCCCACACCCCCAGCCTTTCCCTCACCGATGGGCTGATCAGCCCCTTCTTCCTCTCACAACCCTTTCTTTCTACCTTCTACCTTCCTTGCTTCAGATGCTCCTCAAAGTCATGGCATCACCAACTCAGCCACAGACCTTTGGCTTTTGAAGTGCCTCTTCAAAGATGCTCAAGCCAGCAGATCCTTCCTTTCAACACACAGTGCCTGGACATTCCATACACAGCACATTCTGGGCGGGAGGCAATGCTTATGGATGCTGCCTGTCATTCAGGAAAAATTCACAGTACTTTTCTTTCTATGGATCAAGACCCTCCCACAACTCTCTTTTTCAAAAGGACAACCATAAGTCTAAAGACAACATTTTTTTACTTCCTCAAGAAAACTGAAAGTTCACCATAATAATGAAACAAACCTATAGTGGCTGGACCATTCTCCAGTGTAGATGTCTCCATTCATATAGGAGTAAACTCCATTTCCATGTCTTTGGTCTTCCACCCATTCTCCTGTAATAGACATTTTCTGTTATTATTTCTCCCTCTTCATTGAGCAATGGGCCTAACTTGTCCTTGGTCTTCCTCTTGCTACTAATATATTTGTAGAATGTTTTCTTGTTACTGTTTCTATCTCTAGATTAATTGGGCTCCTTTTGTGTCTTTGCCTTTCTAATTTTGCCCTCACATACTTCTTTTGTTTATATTTATCCTTTGTATTTTGTCCTAGTTTCCACTTTTTATACAACTCTTTTTTTTATTTCTAGATAATTCAAGAACTCCTGGTTAAGCCAGGATGGTCTCTTGCCATACTTCCTATCTTTTCTACACAGTGGAATAGTATGCTTTTGCACCCTTAACATTTTTTTTTTAAACTGCCAACTGTCTTCAGTTGTTTTTCCTCTTAGTCTTGCTTCCCATGGAATCTTACCTACCAGCTCCTAGAGTTTACTAAAGTCTGCCGCCTTAGAATCCATTGTCTTTATTTTGCTGTTTTCCATTCTACCATTCCCTAGAATCATGAACTTTATGATTTCATTATCACCTTCACCCAAGCTGCCTTCCACTTTCAAATTCTCAACCAGTACCTCTCCGTATTTGTTAAAATAAAATCTGGAACATTGCCCCCCCCCCCCTCCCCAGAAGCCTTCTCTGCCTTCTGAAATTAAAACAAAATGTTTCTGATGCATTTCAAGAACTTGTTGGATAATCTGTGCCTTGTTGTGTTATTTTCTCCACAGATGTCTAAATAGTTGAGAAGTTCCTCATCACTGCCAAGTCCTGTGCTTTGGTTGATTTTTCTGGTTGTTTAAAAAAAGCCTCATCCACCTCTTCTTCCTGGTTAACTGAACTATTGTAGACCCACCCAAGTATGACATCACTCTTGTTTTTACCCCTTTTAACCTAACCCAGAGACTCTCAGTGAGTCTGTTTCCTATGTCCATCTCAACCTCAGTCTAAGTACATACCTTTTTAATATATACGGCAACACCTCCTCCATTTTTCCCTACTTGTCCTTCCAGAGCAAGCTGTATACTTCTATGCCAATATTTCAATCATGTGTATCATCCCACCGAGTCTTTGTGATACCTCCTATTGTGTTTATTTACTAGCATTTCAAATTCTTCCTGCTTATTCCCCCATACTTCTTGCATTTGTATACAGACAACTAAGATACTGATTTGATTTTGTCTTGTATTTCCATTATCTCTAGTGTTATAGCCCATTCCCTCTTCTCCCTCCCTCCCACAATTTCTTACCTATCTCCCAGGTCTCCATGTTTTTCACTTACCTGTGGTCTTTAGTCACCTGCCCCTGTTGAACCTAGTTTAAAACTCCCTGGTGAATGCATAATCATAAGTCAGAATGTTTACATTTTGTGGTGGTGCTTCTATTAAGTAGCAGATTTCTTATCTACCTATAAAATGTAAGGCTTTCTGCCTCTGGATCTCTAACTTCTCCTGAACTGCACACTTGTAAAAGTGCACAGAGGAGAGAAAAGACTCTTGCTACTTCCAGAATGAGGAGCTACAGTAGAATATTTATCATAATGACTCAAAATGTGGAACACAGAGCATTCACTGGTTGCCCATAAAGAGGTCATTTGGTGTTAACTTCCCTTGTTTCTCTCTGAAACATGACATTAAAACAAGGTTGTATATACGCACAGTTTTTTCAGTGTAAGCATTTGCTGTAGCTAACACAAAGTTGTTAGGTGTGTAAATATTAGGGAATGTGGTCTGCATTACTGGTGTAAGGGCTCCTCCCCTGCTGTTGGCAATCCCACCAATAAATATACATATAAATAAATACATAAATAAATAAATATTCTCCCGATGGGTAAACAGTATTTTTTTAATTAAGCTTTAAGGGCTGGATTTTTCAGTCTAAGCTCTCTAGCCACATAATTGTGTTGTAAGATTCTAGGGCAATCTCTGCCTGTCTAGAGTTCTGCAACAGCTTACATTCATTCTGCTGGCAGTATTGCATTTGGTATACGGGGATGTTAGGGGAGGGAGGAGGGAGGGGGAGGGAGTCAGGGGAGGGAGCCATGTCCAGGAAAGAAAGAAGATGGATTTTCTGCCAATAGGGTAAATTAAACTGCCTTCCTGAAGCTTTAATTTACAACTTTAGGAGGCTGAAAAATTGTGAGCTGTGATTAGCTCCTCCCTAGTCTTCACTCTCTGCTGTTTTCTTGGATGCTGGGGATAACTGAATCCTATATTTTTACAATTTTCAGAACCCATGGCTCTTTGAAAGAATCCGAAAATGTTCTCAACCTGACTGTCAGCATAACCATTACTTGTAAACTAATATTCTTATCATGCTGTTCTTGGGCTGTTATTTTTAACATAATTCCTACTCTGATTCTAATTAATGGTGTAAAGAATTTGCTCAACACTAAATATAATGAAGCATTCCACTTGATCACATTATTTGGCAAGATTAAACTGTTACCAAAATCATCTATAAACTCATCTCCTAACATTTATGGGGAGGCAAAAATAAAGAACGAAAAAAGTTTTGTGACAATTATCTGGATTGAGGCAATAATATGCTGCCTGACTCGTTGTTTCACATAATTCCACTGAAGCATTTAATCTTCTCGAATATTTAAATATTCATAATTCTGTCCAACAAAAGATTCACATTTTACCTTCATATTTTGATCCATCTGGATACATAAAAATTCCTTGACCATGCTTTTTGTTCTCAGAGAATTCTCCAATGTAGCGAGCACCATTTTTAAATCTGTAGGTCCCCTGAAATATATTTGGTGTAGATACAGTATTTTGAATTAAAATGATAATGAAGTATCTAAACTAATGGGACTGCTGAAATACATGCATGATTTCCAAAACAATCATTTATAATTATCTTACCCGCCCATTTCTCAGACCATTGGCATATTCTCCTTCATATGTATCACCATTGGGTAATCGTGCTCTTCCATGTCCATGTCGTTCACCAGCTGCATTGCGTTCACCTTCATATTCCTGGTTAAATGGAACAAGCCATTCAGTGGTTAAGAGATGGGGGAGGGGAAAGTTAACCTGAATTGAACAGGAATACAAACAGGAAGCCAATTGTGTGTCCTGAACAAATTCTTTTCTCCCTGAGTCCCAGAAAGGCACTAGGCCAAGAATTCTATTGGTAGCTACAGTGAATATCTTGCACGCACCAACCCACCAAATCCTACTGATAACCAAAGGTGTCTTCTGCCAGCAAACTACTGAAATGTGTTGGGAGCTGCAGCAAGTTGAAAGAAACACTAAATACCATAGAAAAATACCAGGACTTCATAAACAGGGCTTGATGAACAGTGGCGAAAGCCGCTCGCCAGCCCCGCACTGTGCATGCACAAGACTCACATTGTGTATGCGCGCACTGCAAATGAACGGTGCACCTGGCTGAAATCTACTCGCCATGGGCAAGTAGATTCAATACTTTGTCAAGCCCTGTTCATAAAAGTCCTTTTTATTTCTACAACTCCATCAAATACAGTAGCTTAGCAAACCTTCATGACTGAGTTCCACTAAAGTATATACTCCAAGAGAACATAGCAACTAAGGACATCATTGTGTTTATAAGATTACTAGAAGATTTACCCAGGTCCTTAGCTCAAATAAGTTTTGTTTTTCTTCATTTAAATTATTGCTCTTGGGTGGGGATGGGGATGAGAGATTCAGTGTACAGACTGCCCCAGAGAGAGAGGACAACCCCAGCCCTCTCTCACAGCAGCAGGTTGGGGCCAAGTGAGAAGCTCCTCCATGGCCGCTGCACTGAAGCGGGCATAGCTGAGAGAGGGGAGCATGTCCCCAGGCTGCAGGTCAGACAGACACACAACAGACACACAAACAAACGCTCTGAAATATATAGTAGATAGCTATCCCTTTCTCCACCCTTGCTGGCCCAATGGAGTTATCACTGTCCCAGTCTCTATCTCTGGCTCCTTGCTTCCCCTCTGTGGTCATTCTGCAGCATAACTGTCTCTCCTGTCAGACTCTTCTCTTTCCATTTTTTGAGAAACAATCCAATTCCAGGCACATCCCATTGTCCTGGTACAGCCAAACCCTCACCTTGCTTTAAGGTATGACAAAAGAAATCTGAATACCGAATTTGGTGATCCTACCTCTTATTGCTTAGGAGGAGTTCTTGAACAAATGCACTCACACTCGGACAGATGCACATTTCTAAATTATATAGTAAGAAGATTTCTTATTTTAAAAAGCATTTTATTTGAGATAAACATCTCATGGCTTTGAGAATCCAGCATAACAGAGAATTTTTTTCATAGTTTAATACTACAAATCCAATATCCCGTGTCATCCTCATCCACGGCTCTGCTCCTACTCTGATTGACATGAATGGCAAGCTGTCTGTTAACTTTGATTAGAATATGATTGACTCTTAAAATATGCAACAGTGAGTAACTACAAATTCAGTTCTTTGGAGTGTTACAAAACTAAAAATATGTTAGTATAATAATGTCTAATGGGTCATTTTTTTGTTAATATGCCATATAGTTATGGACTGGGGCTCTGCCTGGGAAAGAGAAGCTTTATAGATTCAAAGGGACTGTTATAATCTTATCTGAGCCCCACACAACACAGGCCACAAAATGTCTGCCAAGTAATGCCTAGAGCAGATTTTTTTAGAAAAACATCCTCTTTTGATTTAAAAAATGGCCAATGATAGAGACCCCACCAGGACTCTTTCTAAGTTGTTCCAGTGGTTAATTACTCTCCCTGTTAACAAGGTCTGCCATATTTCCAGTTTGAATCGGTCTTGACACAACTTCCAGCCCTGGGATCCTTTCTCTGCAAGAATGAAGAGCCCATTATTGAATACTTGTTCCCAGCAGTGAAAGTAAGGGTACATCTACACAGCAGGACTTAATTCGAAATAAGGTACGCAACTTGAGCTATGTCAATTGCGTATCTTACTTTGAAATAGAGAATGTCCACACAGCACTAATTTCGAAATAGAGCACTCTTCCTCCGACTTCTCTTACTCCTCGTAAAATGAGGGTTACAGGAGTCGAGTAACAAGTCCTCCTGCTTGACAGTATTTTGACACTATTATTTCGGAATAGTGTTGCAGTGTAGACATACCCTAACTTAGAATTTCATACAAGTACCGTCCTATTGCAACCCAGCTCCCTGCCAGTTCCTTAAGTTGCTCCCTGTTGACTTTTGCCACAGCTCAGCTGGCAAGCGCTCACTTTCCCCTCTGCTTTTTCCCCAGGAGGCTACTGACACCGGCTGTGAACAAGTCAGGCCTGAACCTTCCCTTGGAGCACAGATAGGTAAAAAAATTCAGACTACTGGACACCTGAGATGTCTAGTATCCTCTGAATTTTTCCCCAGCTAGGAGGCAAGAATGCCGGGCACCTGGCAA